TGGAGCTTGTATCTCCCTCCTGATCGAAAAAGACAACAGTGTACCCAGCTGCCAGCCCCTTTCGCGCGCGCCTCCGTGCCTCTGCACTTCCACACCTCTGCACCTCCTACCGGACTCCATGTGCTTTTCTTTTTACTTCTAGTTGTAGAATTTCCACTCAGCCAACCTTCCCGTGGTTCTAGATGATATTCGTTTTGTCTTTTAGTTGTAGCTTTAATGTGGCTGTGTGCGTCAGCAAGTTCAGGTGTTTACCTATGCCGCCATCTTGGTTGTCTCCTCTTTGTCGTGTCTTGATCTGGTTTTGGAATTAGGGTAATGCTGGATTCATAGAAAGAGTTTGGAAGTGTTCATTTCTCTTGAATTTTTTGGGATAGTTTGAGGAGAATAGGAGTTAGTTCTTCTTTGAATATTTGGTAAAACTTCCCTGTGAATCCATCTAAACTAGGGCTTTGTTTGCTGGGAGTTTTTTTGTTTTCTTTTAAATTAATGCTTCAATTTCATCAGTAGTTATCAGCCTATTCAGGTTTTCTGATTCTTCCTGATTGAGTTTTGAAAGGTTGTATTTTTCCAGGAATATGTCCATTTCGTCCAGGTTGTTCTGTTTGTTGGAATAAAGTCCTTCATAGTATTTTTTAAAAAGTGATCCTTTGTATTTCTCTTGGGTCAGTTGTTACTTCACCTTTTTTTTTTCTGATTTTGTTTATTTGAGTCCTCTCTTTTGTTTCCTCTGAAGTCTGGCTAGAGGTTCATCAATCTTGTTTATCCTTTTTAAGACCCTCACAGTTTCTTTATAGATAAATGTTTTTGTAATGTGAAATAAACTTGAAGTTTAATTTGAAGACTGTGTATGGCCACTGTGGAAATATCTAGTCAGGATTAAGTTACTGAACTGACTTTGTTTCTATAACTAGTCATTCAATATAACTGAGTCCATAGTTTGCTTGCACTATGCCTAGGCACATGTCTTAGATTTTTCTCTAATAAATGCACTCAGTGCTTTCTTTTACCCAATGTTCTCATAATACCAGCAAATGTCAATTTGATAAAATGGCTGCTGCTAGCAGGGCTCTAAAATGCCATGGGTCAGCATTTCATCTTAGAATGGATTTAACAGTTTATTTCTGGAGACCACTGCTTCCACTCAGTGAACTCCAAGACTGTGAAGAACACTGATTTTGTGTTCATGTATGTGTGTGGGGTGAAGCATATTTTCTTCACCAGTGCTTATGGATATGCTTCATGACAGTCCATTTAAAGGTGTAGGAGTCAATCCAAATATTTGCATTTGAAAGTTACTAGTAGGTAATGGTTCTTAGACTGAGAGATTCTAGAAATATTTCCTCAATTGAGAAAGAGAGTCACTATTTACAATGCTAATTCATTCTCATGTTGATGGTAGAGAATTTTCTTACTTATTAGAGGTCATTTTGCCTCTATTAGACATTTGGCAATTTTGAAATTAGACAGAAAAATATGTTTGTCAAAATGGATCACCCATGGTCTAGAATATGAAGCCCATTTATTCAAGAAAGAGTCTCTGAGCCCTTTAGATCTCTGGACTCGATTTACTCACATTCTTATGAAGACTGATGATGGATTTCTAGTCTATAGGAACCCCAGATGTTGAGGCTGGGTGGGTGAAGGAGAGAGCAGACACAGGGAGCCACACTGATAGGCAGCAGGAAGTGATGGCTGACATTGAGACGGACACCATAAAACACTTTACATTCTAAAAATGACAGTAATTTTGTACCATAGTTTAAGATCACAGAGTATAGGAACAGTCTTTTCTCTCCCAGCAGCCCTTGAGAGTGACACTGTATGGCACCAGTGGTTTCTAATGATGATTCCTGGAGTTTTAGGGTTTTGTGTTCAAGGGATACCAAGCAGGTGGGCCTATGCTGCACCTTCAGCTCTCTCTTCTTTTTATCTATTTTGTGTGTTAGAATTCTATAAAAGGGCTTCTCAGTTAAAATGTGTATTTGAAAGCCAACAATTTATAGTTTGGTTCCACAATGGGCTGAGTCATAAAGAAAGATTAAATTATGCTCAGCATTCTTTGTATAAAAGACAGAGAAGACATAAAACATTACAGAAATATTTGCATTAAAATGGTGAAAATAAAAGTTTGGTATGGTAAGCTCTAGGTAAATAGTATTTGTTGAATCAATGCATTACTAAATGCAGAGAGAGAAACTCAATATATTAGAAAAGCTGCCTTCCCCCACATCACTGAATAAGTAAGGTGTGGCTGAATGTGCCTTATTCATGTGAACAAGGCAAGACTGAAAATTCTTCTGTGTTGAATTTTTCTGTGTTTATAGGTACCTGGGTTCAATTTTCCAAGAGCAACTCAAACAGAGAAGTGACAACATTTGGCAAGGCACTTGTCAGAAGTGCCCTCAAATGTCATTCTGCAGTCTTTAAAACATCTCTAAGAAATCTATCATCAAAGTATGTAGAGTGAAAGTCGATTGTCCATTCTCTTGAAGATGTGGAAATTGAGACAAAAATCAGCTCTGAAGGTAAGTGTAGTTTATTTTGTCTATATAATTAATATACTTAATTAAAGAAAAGGTGCTTATTTTCTTAAAGGCCATTGATTTGCTATTTTGTGCATTAAATGTCTATTGCCAAGAAGGAGGCAGAGCTAAACATGGAATCTAGTTGTCCATATATTTGAAACTGTAAAATACCACATGCATGTATGCAAATACAACATATTTATAAATAGATACCAAATAGAAATGTAGGTATATGTACATGCATATATGTATATATGTATATGTGAATGTATATATGCACATTTATAAAATAGAAATATACCACTCAATGATTTAATAAAGGGATTGGCAAACTTTTTGTGTAGAAGGCCAGATGGTAAACAGATTAGGCTTTGTGGGCTATCTGGTCTCTGTCACTACTCAAGACTGCTGTTGTTACTGTAAAGGCAGACACAGACAATATGTAAACTAATGTGGGGCTGTGTTTCAATTTACAAAAACTGGTGGTTAAGTTTGGGCCAAAGTTGTTGTTTGCCAACCCCTGGCTTATTACGATACAAACCCAGTGTTACTCCCACCCAGGACTAGAAGTACGATATTGCCAGCATTTCAGGAGCATCCTAGTGTCTGCTCCCAAATAGCCTCCCTACCCTCTTGCTCCTATCCTGACTTTTATGCTATTACATTCCTTGCTTTTCTTACAGTTTTATCTGCAAACATACATACATTAATGAATCATACAGTAACCCCCCCCCCCAGCATTCTCTTCATCAGATGCAGGAAGGGATAAATTGTTCATTACTGTAAAGAATTTCATTATGTGAATTCACTTTTCCATCCTAATGCTGGTGGGCATTTGATGGCCATTTTCTTTTCTTTTAATTTATCTTTATTGTTGAAAGTATTACAGATGTCTCCTCTTTTCCCCATTGAGCCCTTCTAGCACATACCCGTCCCCTGCCCCAGGCCTTCACCACACTATTGCCTGTGTCCATGGTCATGGTCATTTTCATGTTCTGCTCTTATGAATGAGCATTCTTGTGCATGTGTCTGGGTGCACACTTGTATGCATGTCTGTTGGGCATATATTTAGGAGGAAGATTGCTGAGTCCGCTTTGTACTTGCATTTTCATAGATAATGCCAACAGTTTTCCAAAGTAGTACTGATATTTTTATCTGCAGTGACCAAGAGTGAACAAACTATGGTCAAGTGTGGAGCGGCGTAGACTGAGCTATACTGCCCCCCTCCACTATTGTTACTCCCTTGCCAGCAGCCACACCTCTGCTGCCCAGGGCCTGTGCTGGTCACCATTTCACCATGGGGACACTTCTGCTGCCAGCTGCTGGGGCACCAAGAGATGAAATCTCGGTCAGCCTCTCCTTTGTCCAGCCTGAACTGGGCTCCCCAGGAGGAGAGAAGGGGGAGTTGGGATCTGATTGTCCCTGTGGTGAAGAGGAGAACTGACCATGGTGGCCTCCAGCTCCCTGCCCACCAGGCCCCTTAGACCTGTCGCTAGCCAACCACACTGGGGGGCAAAGGCTGCCTACCACCTAGTACAGTCCACTTCAGTTAAACATGGCAGGGTGGGGTATGGGGGGGTTGGGGAGAAGAACAAGAGTTTTCTCTTGTTAAAAAAGTTCCTGCATACATAATATCTTTGGTTTTGTCTCTTGACTACAAAGCCAAGAATTTACTGTCTGGCCTCTGGCCAGATAGCTCAGTTGGTTAGAGCATTTTCATGATATTCCAAGGTTTTGAGTTCGTTTCCCAGTCAGGGCACATACAAGAATCAACCACTGAATGCATAAAGGGAACAACATCTCTCTCTCTCCCTTCCTTTTTCTCTGAAAAAAATCAATACATTAAAAAAATTTTTTACAATCTATCCCTTTACAGGAAAAGTTTGCTAACTCCTGTTCTATTGTCTTACCAATACTTGGATGGTGCTGGTCTTTTTCATTTGAGCTATTCTGATGGGTCTATAATTATACTGTGTCATAATGTAATTTATATTTCTCTAATTTCTGAAGACATGGGGTACTTCATCATGTTGATTGGCCATTTGGATAGCATCTAAGAATGGTGTTTTGCCCATTCTTCTTTTGTCTTTTTCTTTTTTAAAAAAATATTTTTGCTTTCTTCAGAGAGGGAGGAAGAGAGAGAGAGAGAGAGAGAGAGAGAGAAAATGAATGAGAGATAATCATTGATCGGCTCCCTCCTGCACTCCCCCTACTGGAGATCGAGCCTGCAATCTGGGCATATGCCCTTGACTGGAATCAAACCCGGGACCCTTCAGTCCACAGGCCAATACTCTATCCACTGAGCCAAACCAGCTAGGGCTGCCTTTTTCTCATTGACAGGAAGAGTTCTTTATAGATTCTGGATGTGATCCTTTGTCAGTTATGTGTTGCAAGTTCTTTTTCTACTGTGTGGTTTGCCTTCCTGCTTTCCTCATGGCCTTATTTGATGAGCAGAAATTCTACAGTTTTGCTTACCCATCTTGTCGCTTATGGCTACATTTTGTTTAGGAAGCCTTGTTTTAGCTCAGTCATGCAAATATTGCCCTAAGTTAGCATCTCTCAGCAGACTCACCTGGCGGCTGGTCAGAGCAGACTGCTGGGCCCACTGCCAGGCTTTCTGACTCAGCAGGTCAGGTGAGGGTGGAGAACGTGCATTTCTAACAAGCTCCCCGGTGCTGCTGACACTGCTGGTCTGGGGACGACACGGAAGGCCACTGACCAGAAGCTTTGTTTGCCTTTCACATTGATGTATAGTCCCGCAGAGGTTATGGGGTGAGGGCCAGCTTTCATTTCTCTCATGTGGAAATCCAGCACCATGTGTTGAAAAGACTGTCTTCTCTCCACTGTTCTGAAAACCAGGTGTCCAGATGCGCACGAACCTGTTTCTGGGCTCTCCAGTCCATCCCACGGGCCTCTTTGTCTACCTGGGCCAGCACCGCAGTCTTCATTACTGCGTCACTGTCAGAAGTCTTGAGATATCGTAGAGCAACCTCCCATCTTTCCCTTTCCTTCAGTCTACATTTATGACCAGTTGTCAATTTACACACACACACACACACACACACACACACACACACACACACACACTTGCACAGACACATGCATCCTATTGGAGTTTAGAAGTGCATTGAATCTAAAAGTCGGTTTGGGGCATATTTACAATTTTGAATATCCTAATCCATCACTTCTCAACCTTTTCCCTCCTGATATTCCCCCTAAAGAATATTTTTTAAGACTTTCCCTCCTCATTACCTACAATACCCATGAAGTTTTAATGTCACAAATATACTGTATATCTGTGCCTTACATATAAAAACAGTACATTTTTTTCTTCCCCCAGGAACCAATTTTTACACCTTTGGGAGAGATTTTACCTCCATTGTGAATATGAACCCCAACCCATAGAATAGCCTAACATTTACTTAGATATTCTCTGAATTCTTTTAATAAGAGAAGTCATTTTCAATGTGGTAGTCATACACATCTATTTTCACATTGATTTCTAAGATTCATACCCTCTGGGTTGGCTGTGTAGCTTCCCAGAGGGCTCAGGTAAACAGGTGTGGTCACTCCTGTGCGGGGCCCTTGGCCTCTTGGCTCCACACCTAAGCTCCTGCCACCTGGCTGCCCCACTGCATCAAAACTCATGTTTCAAAATCTTAGAGTAACTTCAAACCAATTTGTCATTTGTGGCTATAAAAGGACATAATATGTATGGTTTTAAGTGCAGAACAGACATCTGGAAAGGAGGCCATGTGCTGGGAAGTGGTCACAACGAAGGCATAAGCAACAGGAACTTCGTTCATGGTTTCAAGAACGGTGTGATGCTGCATCGGTAGATGGCACTGTTTCCTAATAGATGGAGAGAGCCCTGAGCTGGTGGAGTAGGTCTGAGGAAAATATTTTTGTTAAATTGGAATGAAGAATAATATAAATAAAACCAGAGAAAATTCTGCAGAATCCCCTGTGATCTGCTTCTCTGGTGAGCTTAATTAAACTCACCAAGGAAGCTCAAGCTCTCGCCCTCTCTTGCTTTGGGTGGGCCGGTGCTGTCTTTTCTCAGACCAGGCTGAAGGAAGGGACTTGTATTGTACAGTTGGTGTGGCCAGAACAAAATCACCCAGATGGAGGCCTGGGCGCCTTCCCGCGTGTGGCCTGTGCCCCACTCAGGGGCAACGCTGGTTTTCATTTCAGAACCATCTGTGTGGGCGACAGCCTGGAGCGGGAAGGGGCCAACCCCAGAGCCTCCCTCAGTGTGTCTTCTGTGTGGAAGATCCGGGTACAGATCTTGCCTCTGCCACCTACTGGCTATTTGATCCTGGCAAACTGTGTAATCTCTCTGGCCTTAATTTCATCACCTGGAAAAGTGGACATAGTGTCTGCATGACACGGTGTGTTGTGAGGTTAAATGAGTCAACATCTGGGGAGCCCTTAGCCTGGCACCAAAGGGAGACAACGTGCTAGTGTGGGAGGTCAGTCCATGCTCTGCGGAGCTTTGAAAGTGGCACAGGAAGTAGACCTCCAGGGTTGTAAGTGATAACTGTCATGTGTCCAGGTGACAGATGTCACTGAACCTGGCCGTTTGCATTGCTTTCAGCCTTAAAGTCTGCAACCCAGGCATATGGCAACATCTCTTTGTTTCCTGGTTCCCCTGAAGAGCTTGCAAAAATTTGCAATGCTCCAGCCCCAGAGATTCGGATTCAACTGGTTCAGGTGGGGTCAGGTCTGAGGCTACTAGTGGGCAGCTGTGTTGAGATGAGGGGAGAGCAGGTGTCAGGCTTGGGGTGTGGTCGCAGGTTGGCATCTGAGTGTCTGTAAAGTGTTGGAGCAGAGCCTTTCCCCTGGGCACTGTGCTCAGTAGGTTGTGGACAGGTACTGACAGCGGGTTCTGACCAGGCAGAGGTGTGGTGAACATCTGAGGGGCATGTTTCTCCTTCAGAGGTGCCTCCTGAAAGTGAGAATTAAAGCTCCACGAGCAAACCATAGAAGTGCATTAGGAGATACTAGGCTTTTCTCCCTTTCCCACCATTTTCCTCCCTTTGTGCTTGTGCCTCTGTTTGTATGTATGTTGGTGTGCCTACCTGTCTGCTCTCTTTCTGTCCTGTTTCTGTTTATTCTGTTTCTTTCTATCTGCCTCTGTGTGTCTCTCTGCTCTGTACCTGACTGTCTGCATCTTTTTCGGTCTGTCTCCATCTCTCTGTGTCTGTCTGTCTTTCTTTCCTGCAACTCCTTTGTCCTGGTGGGTCCTGATTTATGTACCCTGGGATCACCAAGTGCTTTAGTCAGGGTTATCCAGAGAGACAGAACCAATAGGAGATCTTATCTAACTATCTTATAGAAAGAGATATATTCAAAGGAGTTGGCTGACATGATTATGGAAACTGACAAGTCCCAAGACCTGCAGTCAGCAAGCAGGAGATGCAGGAGAGCCGATAGTGCAAGTTCCAATCGGTCCAAGTCCAAAGGCAGGAGGAAACTGGTGTCCCAGCTCAAAGACAGCAGAGAGCAAACTCTCCCTTCCACAGCGTCCCGTTCCCCGCAGGCCTTCAACAGAGGAGGAGGCCACCCACACTCGGGAGGACAACCTGCTTTCCGCAGCCCACTGATTCAGATGCCTCTCCTCCAGGACCACCCCCCTGAATGATGTTTGACCCAATGCCCTGTGGCCCAGCCAGATTGACGCACAAAAGTAATTACCGCAGTCTAACCTGGCTGACTGAGGGCCAGACCCGGCTCCCAGGTGTGTTCTGTTGGACTTCCACCCTCAGCCTGTATCCCCCAGTGTCATTACGGAGCTTCACTCTGCAGTCCCTGCTGCCCACTCTTCCTAGGCCGTGCCCGGCTATGTGGTCACTGAAGTTGTGACCCTCCCCCCCTATTCTATCTATTCTAATATAGAAGAACAGAACTAGGCAAACATGGTTTATTTATGCCATGGAGAACATCAAAACACACACGTTCCATTGGCAAATGCTACGTAGTTAAAAGAATTCAGCAATTTGACTATGCAACTGTCTCCTTTCTGCTCAGTCCTCTGTCTTGAGAAGAAAACTCACTTCCTGATCCACTAATCGGTGGAAAGGAGAGGATTTCAGACATTTGTACCCTGTTTGCCAGGGTGAACCCCGGGACGTTTTTGTTGTTCATCAGGAAAGAGGTTCACCCACAATGGACTGTCTCCCACGTGGCTCTTCTATGTTTAGGTCCCCACAGGCCCCTCCTTCGCTGAATTTTGCCCGATGTCCCCAGATGGCTGAGTCCTGTATCTCCCAGGGCACACACCACTGGGCTGCTCTGATGTCAACTGTCTTCTGGAAATTGCTTGGAGTTTGAAAATACTAGTTTGTCAGGATATAGGTTTTGTGAATTTAAAAACAGAACTTAAAAGGTTTTCAAACAAGCTGTTCTAGCCAACAAGAATAAAAGAAGAGGCAGACTATAACTATGTAATAGAAATAAAACTCCATGAGCTAAAGACTATGTAATTATGCCAGCGTTTTACATTCTTTTCTGAAAAATGTTTGTGACAAATTATTACAATTTCCTTGTTTTTATGCAGAACATTGAAGTATTTCCAACAGGGCTATGTTTTGGAAACGGTAGGGCAAAAAGCAGTTTCAAATATGAATTTTTATTTATTTTTTTAAAGCACAATCGTTTCTGTGCCCTGGCTGCCTGGCAGGTTGGAGGTGGAGGTGAAGGCTCTGGGGCAGAGGACAGAGATATGAGCGCGCAGGGCTGGCGGGGGGCAGAGCAGAGAGGGACAAGTGCGGACAGCGGAAGCCTCCCAGGGCGCCTCCCTTGGTCAGCAGCCTCCTTTTGGCAATGCTGGTCAGTGCTTAAACCATCCCGGGAAACGTCCATGGGCCTCCACTCTCCGGGAGCAATTTCAGAATCAATCGGGCCATTTCCAATCAGCCGGGCAGTACATCCAGGTCTGCGAGGGGAGCTGGGATAAACCAGGCCATCAATTCCGCACGAGTTCTAGAAGCCTCCCAATCAATTGAAAGGCAGATTGTTTATTTGTAGCTTTAAAAATTAAAACTGAAGCAAGAAGCAAGGATGTTCCAGTAACATAATGTGTTTTAGAGTTGGCTGAGCACAAATCAGGAATTGGGTTAGTGGAGCCAAGGAAATGGATGGGAAGAAAAAATGAGGACTGCGTTGCAAAGAAATGACTGTTTGATTTGCTTTGAGGACACCTGTGTCAGAGGTCTCTAGGGATAGCCTACTCGACTGTGGGGGGCCGGGACCCAATTGATTTTTTGAAGTTGTTGATGCCAAAAGTAAGCGGAGCCTGATGAATGGCCGGCTCACTCTCAGAGCCCTCGGCACCCTGGGGAGCACTGTCTTAAGGCAGGCCGTGGCTTTCCTGCCTGGGCTTCCACCACGGTGCCCACCGCTCCTCCTGCACTTTTCCCTGCCCCCTTCAAAACCAGAATCTAGAGGCACAAAGACTCGTGTGGCAAGTCCACAGAC